GATAAATTTCGTCAAGCGTCTGATACATGCTCGATTCATACTACTTGACGTGTTAAATATTCGAGAGCCGAATAAATTTCTCGACTTTGACGGTAACAAAATAAACAGCCCGAAATAAATACAAGTATTCGAGATTTATTCGATCTAATAATTATTTGAAAAGAAAAAAACAAAAATAATAAACTTTCTAAAAAAGATATAAAAATATAATATAAAAAAAAAAAATAAAAAATGTCTCGAGCTAAAAGGTAATTTGAAATCCATCGAATTGTAAAAAGTTTCTCGTAACGATCGTTTCGTATGTAATACTTTCGCGTCAAATGAAATCGCGAAAACATTAAATTTTAATCTAGCTCGAACGATATAAACAGGGAATACATTAAATACAAGCCGTTCGTTCGTTCTCTTTTCTGTAATTCACCATAGCGAAAAGCGGGATCGAGACCATTAGTCTGCACGGTCCCATTGTTGCCCGCACTGTCGTAATTTTCTGCTTATTAATCGAAACTCGTGTCACGGTAAACGCGCTTGATGTCCCCTTCTCCCGAACGCGTTACATTCACCGAAGATAATACTCCATCATACATCATCGCGTCAAAAAACAATTTTGGTTCATTTTGAAATATCTCGTGAAATACGTACTCGTACATATTTCCAACAATTTCTGACGAAATTGTTATCACGTTCAAGGAACGACGTTATCCGCGACATTATCCTGCGCTAAACAATGAAAAATTTAACGACGGCTCGACGATAATCGACATGTAATCGGGGGTGGGGGATAAGGAAAATAATAGCGGGGGATAAGAAGATACGGAATGGCTTAACCGTGGCTCGGATCTAGGTTAACTTTGGGTTATCATCTACTTAAGGAGTAATTTGCATAACCTCGATTCTTCGTCTGGTCGAGGAGGCTTGCCTCCTCGCAAGAGCAAACTAGAGTCAACTTAAATCAACCTTAACACACACCCGACGCCGTTTTAAACAATCTCCCAATGTTCCTTCTTTGCCATGTAAATTTTCCAATCTTTCCAGGGTTTAAGGGAAAAGTAGGGTAATATCGTCTTTTCTAACGTTCCACTCTTAAACGATTACCTTTTTTCTTTTTTTTTTTTTACCGTATTTCATATTTTATCGGAACAATAACATTTCGAATTATAAAAAAGAAATTTAATAAAACTAATAAAATCCCATATAAATATATATATATATACATACGATTCATCCAAATGCCTATTCAATTTTCACCTAATTCAACAAAGCTGATTATTACACAGTGGTATGTGCATTAACCATTCACCACTATTTCCTTTTATTTTCCAGTTTCCCTTTAAACGACACACCAGCGAAACGTGTTAAGAGAGAAATGTCGTTTCGTTCCTTCAATTTCTTCGTTCGTTTTCTTCAATTCAAAGAAACGTCCAAAAGAAGAAATCCGATTCCTTTTTGATATCGTCGAGCAGGAAACAGGAAATCGAAACTAGAACGTGTATTAATCCCTCGTAACGAGAAGAGAGAGAAAGAGAGAGAAAGAGAGAGAAAGACACACAGAGAGAGGAACGAATAAAATTCACGTCGCTCGTGCTCCTATCCTATACGCATCTAAATAGGGAGGCGTGTATTCTATCGGCGCGTGCACGGGCCGCGGACACGGGGAATACACCCGTGGCGTGTAACGACGTCACCGAGCAGTATCTCTGTTACGCCTGGCTTCCCGTCCACTGTACCCGCTCACGCATCGCTTAACATAATCCCCCATCCGACCAGCGCTACATAGATTACGAAATGATACCTCTGAAACGCGTACAATTATATTGGCGTGAGATATTTCGCCCGTGCGCGTTGTTTCGTGGCTCGAATCCGAATTGTCTCGTCTCACGCGGGCATACACGCGCACACATTGTGTCGTCGACGATCTCCCGCGACGTGGCGCGGATAAATGGCGAGAACCTGAACCAAGTTGTTGTTGTTGTTGTTGTAAATTTTTTTAAAAAGAGACGCTCGACGTCGCGGCGGATATTTTGCGATTATTTATTTCCATCGTGAATAGAGATATCTTGATTAAATCGTTGGAGGTAGCGGCAATTACGGGAGGAGGATTGTAGGAGGAATTATAACGTAACCGGTTTCGGCTGGTTTCGTGGTCCGAATTCGAATGAAGTTTATCGTTCGACCGCGTGGCGCCTCGTTGGCGACGCTCGCTCCCTCCCTGTCCCAAGATAAATCTAAAACGCCGCGCTAATTCGCGATTTCATTTAAATGCTAATCCCAAAATAGAGACAGAGTGGTTTCTCGATGCACGTAATCCTGGGATTGGAGATCCCGAGGAATCTCGTCGAATCTCTTGGAGTCTTTCGTACGTTTTACGAATCTCTCTCTCTCTCTCTTTCTATCTCGTTCTCGTACGTTGAACGAGGAATCACGTTCCTAGTATTTTTCCCTTTCGTTTTTCAAAATGCCCATGTTTTCGAAGAAATCTTTATTCGAGGGAAGATGCCGCCTGTATCGACGAAGAAGAAGTTTTCAATTTCGAATCGAGGCAACTTTCCAGTTACGAGACTTTCCGGTCGGAATGATATCGAAGCCCTTTTCGCGCGATCGAAACTTTTCATACTGGCTTCCCTGATCGGGTGACCGACCAACGGAATTATCCAGACATACAAATGGTTTCCAACGATTCTGTTGGAATTTTATTACGCCGTTGACCAACGGTGAAGCGTCGTCAACTCTCGTCGTTAGTTTATTTCCAGTTAGTTTTCGTTACAGCGATAGCAATTTCGCAAACCGATGATATAAGAATTATAGAAATTCGGTCGATTTTACATATTTGTTAACGTAAAAGCGAACGAACGAGGACGTGAACGATTGGAACGCGTTCGTCTCGATTAAACTCGAGGGATGAAATAAAAGAAGGGGCTTAAGAAGCCGTGATAAAAGTGTCGTAAATTTTCATGAACGAATGCTACAGGGGGTGGTATTTAATTACCGTGGTCCGGGAAATTGAATTACAGATAAAACACGGCCAGTTATTAATATTTGCGCTTCGTTCCGGCTGGATTATGAAACGTTGGCGCGAATTTGAATTTCTCCCGGCCCCATTTCTTCGTGAATCGAATGCTTTTCGATTAACCGTTATACTCGACACGCGGCGGCTGGATTCGTTCATCAGCCGTGCCCGGAATTGGATTCTCCGTATCGTTTGATGTCTTTGTGTCTTCTTTCGATAATTAATTCGAGCAAGAGCTATTTTAATTTACCACCCTCTCACAGGCGATATCCGCGAAACCCAATTACACGTCACGTGCCGATTACACGATCGGTAATGGAAAGTTTCTTAATTACAGGCGAGCGGGATGATTAATACGTTCGCCTGAAAATCATAGTAATTTCGGTCTTTGAGAGGGAGCCGGCCCCGATGGGCGAGTCGGACCCGTTTCACGTAATGTTTTTAGACCGCTACCCTCCCCACTGACACTTTTATCGCGTTAAAATTAGAAAATTCCCTCGTTTCGTTTCAATATATATATATATATCGTTTTCCATTTGCTATACGGATTTCGAGTAAATCGTTCGCACGATTCGAAGAAAGAAAACGTTGAAAATCGGAGTGGAGGGTTGAAAAAAGGAATTTTCAACGCGGCTGAAAAAGAAAAGAAAAAAAAGAACAATTTTTACTTCGCATTAACATTTGCCCGATTTTATTAGATAACGATATCGCGAACGAAAGGAAGGATTGAAAAAAAAAAAATGGAGGAAAGGGAGGGGGGATGGGGCGAAATTTGTAAAAGTTGAAACGTGTCGGGCGGAAAATCAACTGGCCGGCGAGTTTTTTGCCGAGATACGTGAAATTTTTTTTTTGAGAAACTAGGAACGAAATTTTTCGCCGGCCAGCAACGATCCAACCAACCGTTTCGATAATTGGATTCTGGCGACCGTTTTTAAAAATATCGCGAAAACCATCGCGTTGCCGTTTCTGCCTTCAACCTTCTCTTCTCCTCGATTCCGCCATTTTTCACGTTCGAGCATTAATCAAATTCCCTTCTTCCCTCTCCCTTCTTCTCTCTCTCTCCCTCCCTCTCTCTCTCTCTCTCTCTCTCTCTTTCCTTCGAGCGTAATCTCGAACTACTTCCTGCTTCGCGCTCGAGAAGTCTCTGTGCCTCGAGATTTCCCATTCAAACCTCGCGCCCACGCGTTTGGAGGCCAGATACCGTTTTCGAATCGCGCCCTCGATTCTTGTCTTTTCATCGCCTCGATCGTGCGATCCTCCAAATTTATCCGAGTAACTTTTTTCCCGTTTCCGTTTTTATTCGATTAATCGACGTTATTCCGTTACGCGTAGCAGTGAATACGAAGGGGAAGACTGTCGGTGGAGCGTCGAGGAGAATTCAGAATTCGGTCGAGTTATTCTCGGAGGGCGGATTTATCATTTCGAACGGTGGAAGAAGAAAGACGGTCGAGTTTGATTGTTTTCGAAATTTATCGCGGAATATGCGTCCTTTCGACGAAAAGGCCGAGAGATGCTTTCAAAGAATTGGAGCATTTTGTCTTATCTCCGTTTCTTCCCCCGTTTTATACACTTACACTTTTTTTTTTAATCCCAACCTCGTATCTCTCTCTTCAACAAACGCTCAATTAATTCAATAATGGTTTGAAAAGATCTTGATTACGATTTCCTCGTCTCTTATAGATCGAATAGAAGAAGGAACAGTTTTCGTTGGTTGATGAAATTAATCAGCAACCGATGTCGATGTATATATTAAAGCAAACGATATTTCTAACGAATTAATTGAAAGTAGCATGCCATCTGATATCGTCATTGCAAAATATGATCGTATATAATAAAGTGTCTGAATAGCAATTAAGATAAACGTTAAGATAAATATTAACGCAAAGTTCCCTCCTTCCCCCCCCCCCCTAATTGTATCGATTAATTATTTATAGTATCACACAGATGCAACGTCATATTGCTACTGTATAACAACCACCGCGTTCACCGTTCATACGTCATTACTTCTGACAAATAATTTACCAAGATAATTCGCCTCACAATAACTATCCGATGCTAATTAAGCCCGTAATCCGGCAGCCAACCTATAACGTAATTCAATTATTCTAATTAATATTCGATTGCAATTAACAATCCAATTGAAGGTGTACAACCACCTGGCAAATAATTTCGTCTGTTTTCGCTAATGTATCCCATCAACCGTCAATCTAATATCTGGGATATCATAGCCGAATGTACAATTCGTTTTCGCTTCTTCGATGCAACGAAGCAGCATATTTCCTTAAAGCCAATTCGAAAAGAAATGATAAAACAATTCGAACATGTATATATATATATTTCAATCATCTCTTTCGTTTCAAAGAAAATACCCTCTTTCTTTGGATCGACGTAAAGAAAAAAAAAAAAAGAAAAAAAACGAAAGAGGCGTGTTTTTTCCATTATCTTGGACATATCCAATGGAAAATATCGAAGGTATCGTCGTACACGGCTCCCCCTCCCTCCCTCACCCCATAGGGATGCGACGATATCGCAAAGGTCACGACGACGCGACAGGGCGCGAGAGGAAAAACCATGGTGCTGGACGAACATCGGCCACGTTTCCCCTCAGATCCATCCTCTAATTCGCCGTCTGGGGCACGTACGGGGGCATGTAGGGCCCCGTGAGGATATACTGCACCGCAACCACCATCAACTGAGGGGCGCTCCATCTTATGATGTACGCGCTTCCTGAAACAGAAATGCATTTTTCTCGTTTACTCGCAGCCGCCTTGTGCACTCGCATCCGGTACAAGCATCGTGTCTCTATTCTTTCTCGAGATAAAAAAAGGAAGAAGCTAGGGAGATCGGTGTCTGTTCGCTGTGCGTCGTTCTCTTGCGAGGGTTTGTACAAGAGAAAGAGAAAGATGCGTATACACGGATGTGGAAATTTCGAAGCGAATAGGAAGAAGCATGTTGCTATCCGTCGTTGGAATTCGCTTGTTTCTACCGTTATCGAAACGGCCGGTTTCGAGAATTGATTGTATCTCAAGTACGAAGAATTTTATATACGGAATACGATATATATATATAATATAATTTGAATAGAATTTGTTCGCGTTCTTTTTCGTTCGATGCCAAATCCAATTGGAAGGGAGGAGGATTATAATTTTCCGGTTACGCGAATCGCATACCCCCGGATTACGTTTTGTTATTGGCTTATGCCGTAAAATCTGATCATATTAATCAATGAACGCGTAGGCATGCCGCCGCGTGACTGCTCGACGTTCCTAATTTCCAAAGCTTATTATCGTAATTATCAGGTGTCAAAATGTTCGAATTTCGTTCGAACGTTTAAAATTTCGAGTTATTATTATCTCGTCATTGACCACGACTGAGGAAATTTTCCGAGGTCGTACGCGCCTTTTGAAATTCACGATTCGACGAGAGAGAAGGGAAGATACAAAAAGAAAAGGATGATGAAAGATATATCAAAGAAGGTTGAAATATATTTATAGATATTGATATAAGCGTCTCGTAAGAATTCTTACGGTTGGTGTGATAATTCGTACGTAGGAAAATAACGCGTTTGGAAGGAAGTTCTTTAGAGGGGGGAAAAAAATGATATTTATTCGAGCGAATTTTCCTTAAAGCTTCCCCCATCGAGGCAAGTTTCGTGCGTCGCATCGTTCAGAATTTAAATTAACATTTAAGGTAGCACATTTTCGAAATACTTGGCGTGCACCGACATACGTGGTGAACGTTCCGCCGGCGAAAACTTGCCGGGGGGGGGGAAGAAAACTCGTACTCTAAGCAAGGAAAAAGCGAAGAGTCTCGGGCGGAACTTTTAGTCTAAAGTCCCTCGGGTGTTCCTTTCGCGCTATCTCTGATCTAAGCTCGCCGAGGCAACGACCAAGATCTCATTGCTTTTCCAATAAATACACCCTTTCTCGATATATCGGCGGGAGCCGTTCCTTCTATCACGGATGCTGCACCTAAACTCTCTTGTGTTGAAGATGCCGATCTTAAAATAAAATTCTACAACGTTTCCCGCTCGCATTTCCGATGATTTTCTACGAAAATATTCTTTTGAAACGTATCTCTAAGTATTTTTAAAGCATTGTGTAAAGGATGGGTAGGAAATACCCGTTGGGATTTAGAAATACGAGACATCGATCTCGTTTCGATCTATGATTTATACTTAGAGGGATGAAATAATTTAATAAAATTTAAAATAAAAGCGAAACGAAAATTTATTAAGATTGAGAAATGAAAAAACTATATAAGATATGAAAAAATAATACAAAGTCTGAGTAAAAATTTTCTTTCTTCGTACGAATAACAACAAGGTTTAATTCGAAGAGGAAAAAGAGAGGACGAGAAGAATAACTGACACCAGTCGATTTCTTCTCTAATCCCTGACGATCTCGCTCGAAGTATCGCGAAATCAAAGTTACCAAGAGAAGCCCCTGAATCTAACAATCACCTGTCGATCTGACAGCAAATTCTTCGCGCTATCGTTTATACGCGGCGTCAGGTGTGCAGAACATGGGGTGGAAAGCATTTTATCTCTATACATATATATATATATATACACACGGTAGTATTATGTCACTTATCAATTTTTCGACGTTTAATCGAAATATCATTCTTAAATCCCGCCCGTATTCCTCTTCTTAAAAAAACCAGAAATCCAAGCTAGCTTCCAAGATGTAGATGGAATTAAGTGGCAACTTGTGAAACGTATAATTTATCGCGTCTCGACTATTTATCTCCGCTCGAATGTAGCAAATAGAGTTATAAATAATCCGAGGGTAGAATGTAGAGTGGAACGGGGGAGAGGAATATATCGGGTAAATAAACGTCTGGAACGTTGAATTCGTCGAAATTACAAATCGCGGTATCGGTTATCGCGGCCGATGAAAAATTTCAAATTGGATGCCGGTCGAAACGACAAAAGCAGCAGCCTTTCGCTTCGCAAAAAAGTCCTCCCCCTTTCCAATTCTTCCTCCTCGTAAGATTTTTATTTACACCCACCGTTCTGATTTATCGTTGATCACGTTCTCCCCCCGCCTCGCCCCTATTCCACCATCCTCGCAGGCGACGCGAGTCTAGCTGCAAGTTTCGTGTCTGAGAGAGATACACACACACACATATATATATATATATATGTGTGTGTGTGTGTGTGGCTCCGGCTAGAATGGTTGAAAAACAGGTGGACGAAGGAGGGATGGCACACACGAAAAGGGACACGCGCGAGAAGGGAACAAAGAAACGGGGAAAATAGACGAAACGAAAAATCACAAAGAGGCGAAATGAGAAAAGCATTGGGTGCCCGTGGAAATAAAACGGCGAACGGGCGAAGGAAGGGGCGGGACGTGATGTCGCGGGTGGGGAGGATGGAAAGGGTGGAGGAAGGGCGTAAAGAGACGAGGAGACGAGGGTGGTCCACTCCGCTTCTTATCGCGGATCGACGTAACGGATCGTTCGGTATCGCGAATATGTCAACCGTAACCGAGGAATCGGGCATTATATATATATAGTGAAATAAAAAGGGGAAGGATTTGAAATATTCCGCCGGCCATTGGAGCGGAACGCGTAGACGTAGGTATTATTATTGACACTTCGCTTCTGGCCTGGAAGAATTATGTATTTTTCATAGCGTATGTCGGCGGACACGGTCGTTCGCGAATGCAAAGTAACAAGGTTGGCGACGACCGGCCGAAAATGCACCGTGACGACGACGCGGCGACGACGACGACGACGACGACGACGCGACGCCGGCGACGTAAACTCGATGTACCTCGCTCGAGATAGAGAGGCGATGTCGAAAAGTTCTCTCTAAATCGGAAAACGCCACCGTGAATTTTAATGCCGGGCTGCGAGATATCGACAGCCGTCGATACGAGGCCCTCCGTTTCGAGCAGGGCGTGTTTATTACACCGATTATTAACTTCTCCTTTATACAGTTCCCCTAATAACGAAGAACAAAGCGTTTAATCGTGTCTTTGCGCTCGTAATTTTTCACAGTTCGATTTCGTTTCGTGTAACGCTTAGAATTGAAGATTTCGTTTCGTCTATTCGCCTCCAAAAAGAGGGATTTTGAAATTCAAATTCTTTTTCTAAAGTACTTATTCTCCTCAAATTTTATTTTTCTTCACGATACGATTGATCACGATTTTGTACTTTATTAAAGTTGTTCGAATTTCCCCTTTTCAAAAGGGATTTCGTTGGGATATATTTCGTTCCACGATACGACGCAGGGGCGTATTCGATATTGATATTTCATACGCGTTATCCTTGGTTTGGTTTCACAGCGGCGATCGAAGATTCACGGTGGAATTATTCATGGAAAAAAGCAAATTGGCCGCGTGTGGGTTGATGCGATTTCGCGGCGCTTTTTTCGAAGCCGCTGCGAGTTACGTCGCGAAGAATCTCGGTTAATCCGGGCGCATGCCGGTGAATTTTAATGCAACGTCTCGATATCGACAGGTGTCGACGTTGGCGAAGCCGTGAAATTTTTCGATGACGCTCACCGTCCCTGCAGATTTATTATCATCGGCCCCCCCCTATCCCCGTTTCCTTATTCAATCAACATTTGCCAATTTTAAATCAACGAATCTATCCCGACAACCGATTAACCGTTCCTCGTTTTGTCGATACGTCACTCAACTTTCGCGACCGTTATTGTCTCTGAATGTCATTTCAACGCATCTCTGTTATCTTCTTCTTTCCCGATACTTTATCACTTTATCGTGAATCGAAAATTTTTTATCAGTTTTGTTTTCTTATTTATTGACGTATAATCCAACGATGTGACATGATGAAAAAAAAAAAAATAAAAAGATAACATTGAGAAATGACGGAAGATAGAAACTAATACCGTCTGAATGGAAAAACGAAGAAATCGTTCGCCGTTAATAATCTTGCGATAGAACGCGTCTCTCAGTTTTCCTTCCTCTTATTCGAAAGCCCATCCACCCCGCGAATAATAAAATGTTGTCAAAAGGAGCAGTGGGGAGGGGGGGAGGGGAATTGAGGAAAAACTGGATTAGCTCAGTCATCGATTTTCGTAACGCCATCCCCTATCTAGCTTCTCGTTTTTGCGATCCATTAAAACGACGCTCAAACTTCCCTATCGCTAATTTAATCAACGATAAGGGGGAACTTTGGTCGCGTACCGTAACGCCGGTGGCAAACATTTTTATCAGCCGACACCGGTTTGCTTTTTCGCTCTGCCCATTTTCCTTTCCCTCCTCCTCTCACTTTCTTTTTACCTTCCTTAACGAAAACTTACAATCTCGCCGTTTACTTTTTTTCGCCTCTTTCTTTCTTATCTTTTTTCTTATTTTATTATTATTAACACAACGCATCGTTCCACGAAAAAAAAAAAAAAAGAAAAATTCCTTGCTCCCTTCGTCGTAAATTCAACGTCGCTCCTCTTCAAATTTATTAACGATTAGTCTCTTTTCGAGTAGAATAATCTGCGGATCAAACACAAAATGATTCTTTTCTTTTCTTTTCTTTTCTTTTCTTTTCTTTTCTTTTTTTTTCCACGCCAACACATTTAGATAAGCGTTGTCAAGTATCAAAGGAGTGACACGTCCGCCTACCTATCTCGCGCTCACGAAAAATGAGGTGAGAGGTGATTCTTTTTCCTTCCGGCACGTCGAAAGGGAGGGAGAGATGGGAGGAGATGGCGCGATCAGCTTATAGCGATCGTATCGAGGCATAAGCCGACCTGATTTACG